AGTCATGGGATAAGAGGGAAAGTCCTCTCATGGATCAATAACTGGTTAAAAGATAGGAAACAAAAGGTAGGTGTAAATAGTCAGTTTTCAAAATGGAGAGAGGTAAGTCGCAGGATCCCTTGGGGATCTGTATGGTACCAGTACTGTTCAACATATTCATAAATAACCTGAAAAAAGAAATGTAAACAACGAGGTGGCAAAGTTTGCAGATGATACAAAATTACTTAAGATAGTTGAGTCAAAATCTGACTGTGAAGAGTTACGAAGGGATCACACAAAACTAGGCGATTAGGCAACAAAATAGCAGATGAAATTCAATGTTGACAGATGCAAAGTAATGCATATTGGAAAACATAATTCCTAACTGTACATACAAAATGATGGAGTCTAAATGAACTGTCACTGCACAAGAAAGATCTTGGAGTCGTCATGGATAGTTCTGTAAAAACATCTGCTCAGTGTGTAGCAGCAGTCAAAAAAGCTAACAGTATGTTAGGAACCATTAAGAAAGGGACAGATAAGACAGAAAATATTATAATACCACTATATAAATTCATGGTGCACCCACACTTGAATATTGCGTACAGTTCTGGTCACCCCATTGCAAAAAAGATACGTTAGAATTGGAAGAAATACAGAGAAGGGCAACAAAAATGATTAGTGGTATGGAACAGCTTCCACATGAGGAGAGGTGGAAAGGACTGGGACACTAAACCTGGAACAGAAGTCTAAGGGGGATATTATAAAGGTCTTTACTCCTTCACATAACACAAGAACAAGGGGCCACCTAATGAAATTAATAAGCAGCAAATTTAAAACAAACTTAATGCAGTGCACCGTCAACCTGTGGAACTCATTGCCAGGGGATGTTGTGAAGGCCAAAAATATAGCTGGGTTCAAAAAAGAATTGAGTATGTTCATGGAGGATAGGGCCATCAATAGCTATTAGCCAAGATGGTCAGGGATGCAACCCCATGCTTTCAGTGTCCCTAAACCTTCGACTGCCAAAGCTGGGAATGGATCACTTGATAATTGTCCTGTTCTGTTCATTCCCTCTGAAGCGACTGGCACTGGCCAGTGCAGAAGACAGGATACTGGGATAGACGGACCTTTGGTCTGACCCAATATGGCTGTTCTTATGTTCTGACTGTGAAGAGAATTATAACTCTCTCCTGAAATTCCCTGATAAACAGGGACAATGGAAATTGACAAAGATGGAAAATCCACAAATTCTAAGGATTGAGGTCTTTCCGGACACTTTGCTATATTTCTACATAATGTGTGGACCAGATGTTATATGTTTGATCATGTCAGAGCACAGTTGTCTGACATGTAGGCGCATCTGTGTTCTAACACTTGCTTTTTTCTGTAAAGTGGACAGGACAGCATGCTTATGTTTGTGTTATCCCATCCACACTACTGACAAAATGTTGGAAGCCAGATGCAGCTAACTATGCACTGACTCAATTAGACTTGTAGACCTCTACAAACAATTTTAGGGAATCATTACTAATCATTCCGCAGAAACATTGATTAACTAGAAGGTGCCCATGACCCTGGAATCAGAACACAACCAAAATTACAAATAGTGCAATCAGTCTGAAAGACTGCAGTCTGCCTCTTGCTTTGTCACACCAAGAAAGAACATGACAAATGTGTGTTTTGTTTTTATCGCTTGCCATCTTCAGATTAGGTTTTCCTACAATAACCCACCTCAAGAGATTTTAACCACCCTCAGAAAAAAATAATCTGCCAAGAGACTCAGATCCCCTGCACTTGCAAATTTCAGCCTAAGCACAATCACCTCCAGTGTCCTTGAAGCTTAATTGGCATAGTGAGAGGTGATCTGAGAGTTTTGGGGTACAACCACTAAGGGCTGTGAAGATCACGGTTTTAAATTGGACTGGGAACCAGTACAGAGAGCCCTGGGCTAGGGTGGTGTATTCTCATAGTCATTGTGTAAGAAGAGGGGCTGCCTGGTGTACCCTCTGGAGCTTTCACTTTCAACCTGAGGTTCAGCATGTTGCAGTAGTTGAGTTTAGAGGTGACAAACACACAGATCACCTTGGCTTGGTCTGTGGCTGATGAGAGGTGTAACCTCTTGGACAGCCGAAGAGTATAAAAGGAATTTATGGTTACTGATGTCATTTGCCTGTCCAGGAGTGCAGAAGGAGCTCAAAACATATGCCCTAATGTTTGTGTTAATATTAAGTAAATTGGAATGGAGTACATGGTCAAGAGGTGCAGATAATTTAAAATAGGGGAAACATTGCGAAGGCATGGGAAATGTGACTATTTTTGAAGTAACACAGAAGTGAGTGGGAATTCTACCTTAAAGGAAATGTATGTGCTTTGAAGTTGGAAAAACATTTATGCGAAATTCAGTATTCTTAAATGTAACCTCCCCCATAAGTAGGATTAGCTTACTTGCGCCACTCTGCTGGTATTACTGAATGAAAGAACAGTAGACCAAGAAAGCTAAAATAATCTCTTTAAGAAGGATGATGATGACATGCTAATGCTAAAGTTAAATTTAAGACTATTATTCCTTGCCTTTCTAGCTTTCCTGCTTTTGTGAGAGTGACAACTGTAATATATATTTAAAATTCTTGCACTACAGAAGAGAGAAGAGTTTTGGCTTTTCTGTTTTGCATGTTTAAATCACACGAATGTTGATACTTTATAGGTTACGTGTATTAAAGGGTGTTTTCAGTTTTATTCAAGTGCTTTGCTTGTATTGTTCTAAGTCATAATTTGGTCCCGTTAAATAGCTAAGTGGAGAGAGCGCACCATTTTAAAATCATTTTGATCTGAATGTGTGATTTTGTTCTATAGTAAAATATTAGAACTGTAACACCTTCATTTTGAAATCTGCTGTTGAGATAAATAATTTAAGAAAACTCCTTATTTTCTGTATGCCATAGTTTAAAAAGTAGCTGTTGTACTGTTTCACATCTGGAAAAGAGTGGATAGACATGTTCAGTGTTACAATATAAGAATGTCAAAAAGCATCTGTCTAGAATTTTACAGATTCATGCTGTGTGTGTGTTTTCTGAATTGTCTGGTGGCTGAATATCTTAAAATGAATGGGTTAAAGGCTATAAAAAGGGCCATTTAATTTGAATAAAGAGTAGACAAGTATTAGGAATTTGCCAGAACAGTGATCTATAGGCTTTCATTTATAATTTGCTTCCTGCTGCAAATATTTTCACAAATGTATTTAAGAATATATTGAATAACTAGTTTCATTTTCCTGTGCCAACGTGTGCTGAAGTACTGTGGAGGCAGACATATGAACACCTTAAAATTGTGTAAGGATTGTAATTTTTAAGGTGAAACTCCCCTGGTAGCCCAGGAACCATGAGTGTGAATTTTGTGCCTAAACTACACCATCCTGTCAGCTTCTTGCTTCTAACCTTTCTCATCATAAAAATCCTTTTGTCTTTTCATATGAAAAACAGATTTTGCTCTTTCAAGAACCACCTATAATAGTCCTTTAGATTAAAAAACCCTCTCATGTTGTACGATGACGGTCAACTGCGAAGGGATGATGCAAAAATGAAGCAGCGTATTATTGGAAGTGGTTGTTTCACCAAGCAAATTCTAAGGTATCTGATGAGGAAGGGATCTTGGGTCCTAGGGTTTAATTAACGGAGACCAAATTTAGTGAGACTTTCCATCGTGCATGTTCTGTTTTATCTTTTCTAGTCTAAAGGTACAGTGTTGCGCCAATAGGTGGCGGCATTGGAGTAGCTAAATGTAAGTCTAGTGACATTGTTATTGAATTCCAACATCAGCTATATCCGATCGTTTCTACCCAGGTTAAACTTTGCATGTGTAGTTTTTCTGCAGGCAAAAATCAGCCTGTGCATCTTGTAAGCGAATCATCTTACATGTTGAAAGGGTTTAAATTGGGCACTGGATCGTTTTGTTTCTGCGCTGCTGTTGCCACCCAAATTCTCCGACTCTGCAGAGATCTGCTAAATGCTCATGCGGTTCCTTGCAAATCGTAGTATTATAACGGGGGAGAACGGGTCTCCTGGCCAGGGGTCTCCTGATTAAGGGTATCTGGATTTTGGTGATGGTTCACTGCTACTGAAGTGATGCAAAGGAGCCGTTCTGGCGGTGGGAGGTTCCGAATGACCGGCCAGCCAATAGGCACTGACTCTCTTGCATATATTATGCAATAGGACTGGAACCTCAGGTTTTCTGCTGAGTATAGAAGAGCTGACCTCGGAGATTTCTTTGCGCAGCCCTGGGATCAGCATCTTCCAGGATCATACCGCCACAAACTGGTGTTTTTTCAAAATTATCTCTCTCTAGCCAGCCTCCTACCATTCCCCCGTGGCGGAGATTTAACTGAGATTAATGTAGATCAACAGAGAATCTCTGCATTATTTTTTTCTTTGGGGGGGGGGGTGTTTCTGGCTGGAATTGCATGAATGCCCAACGTTGTAGAACAGTGGCAATGGATCTAGGAGTTTATCAACTAAGACATTTTTCAATTTCTTTCTTGTCATCCTTGCTGGGCACCGACAATTCTTCTTTGAGACTCGACAGTAGGTAAATAACTCTGGTCTAAAATGTGCTTGTTTTCCTTGCTGGAATATTTGCAGTAATGCAGGTGAATGCCAGGGGGCTGATTCCTTTGTCCATCGGACTGGGCAGCACTGGGAAGCTGCAGTGGCACGGGCGGTGTGTTTTACATTTATCTTGTGAGAGATTGAATCTCCGGGACACGGATCGCTGTTACCGCATTATGTAATTAAGCTCCATCTTTGTGGGTTATTAGGGAAAATGTCCGGATCTTTGATCCTGCTGTAGCGGGCGGTTTGAGGTGGCTTTACAGGTTGGTTTCTCTGCATTGAAGCATCCCGATGACATAAACAGCAGTATTAAGTCAGTGCGGGATATATTTCTCAGCAAGCTAGTTATCAGTATTCAACTCTCTTGTCTTGTAAATAATTCAGCTGCTGATATATCTTTTCCCCTCTTTTCAGCTCCTCGGGTGCAAGTGTGGTAGCTATTGACAACAAAATCGAGCAAGCGATGGTATGTACCGATTGTTTAATAAAAATACAATTAATGTTTAAAGCGCGAGTTGTGAATAGAAGTAAGTGTTCACAATATCAAGGTTCTCTGGGTAACATTTAACCGATGCATGGGCGTGTTTTTTTTAATAGTGAAGCTGCTGGGTTTTTTTAAATACACTGATGATCAAAGGCTTCCAAACGTGAGGAATGCATACGTTTCCCTGTAGATGCCTTAAATGACTATGACGGCATCTTCTGCCTTTTAAAAAATGATCGATCCTGACTCCGGGGGTGGGGGGAAGGAGGATGAAATAATATTTCCACTCCAATTTTTTTTTTTTTCAAAATCCCCCAACCATCCCAGCTGGATTATCCCTGGAAAATGGGACCAGCCACAGTGTGCTGATGGATCCAATAGGGGCATCCTAAGCTGCTTTAATTCCCATGCTTGCTGGCAATGGAAGGTAACGTGCCTTGGAGCTGGGATCTTGTACGCTGGGGCTGCTGCCCTGCAGGGCAGTGGAAATCATGGGCTCTGTTGCGCGATGGGGGAGAAGCGAAGCCGGTTAAAAAAACAAAAAACCCTCCTCCAAAAACACACACACACAACAACCCACAAACCCTGTGTCTGTGCCTAATTTTTCCTGTTTTTTGATTTCCGCCTTGGCTGCTCTTTGTTATTGGAGCGGTGCCTGTAGCCGTTCTCACGGGATTCTCTGCCTACTGTTGCTAGGCAAACTCCGAACCTTTAACTCGCGGCTATAAATAACTCGGCAGCTCATTGGCTGAGGCGCGTGGGGGTGGTCGGCCGGGTCTCTTTGACGTCACTCTCGGTCACGAAACACTGGAGGGAGGGAGGGAAATGCGGCAACCTGCACTGTAAGAACTAGCTGCAGCCAGCTCCGCGAGGCTGGGCGCGGGGGGGCGGGGAGCAGTTGTTGCAGGGGAGGAGGTTCCTGCTTTTACAAACACACGGCGCCGGCCCGCGAGAGCAGAGCGGGGCTGGTGCCTGGATCCGCACCTCTCATCAGTGAAACCCCACTGATCCCAGCCCTCCTCCGAGGCACGTCCGCGAAGAAGTGCCGGCTGGGGGGTGTGGATTATTGGAAGTGGAAGACAACAGCACGCGGCGGGGAATTTGGAGGCTCGGGCTGGCTTCCTATAGAAACAACCCTCTCCTTCCCCCTTCCAGCCTGAATCAATTCGATGGTATTTTTCTATTCAGATCAATTAATAGGTGAGCTGGCCAGGGGAGGGTGAGCCCATAGACAGAGTAGTGGCCAGGCTGATGGTCAGGTTTGTAATGAGACTGGCCTACTTGGACGTCCAACATTTCTTGTGTGTATTCTGGGTGCACAGGGAATGCAGGCTCTGGCTCTGCATGTTAATCTCCAAAACGCTTTACAAGCACTAGTACATGGAGGGGAGATTTCTCGGCCCCATCTACCCGTGCTTTGCTGTCTCAAAGCTGGAGCCACATCTGCTGCTTGCCTTAGTTGGGTTGGATTATTGTTTCTCTGGCTGAGCAGCGTTGTATCCCTGTCCTAAGGTTGGACCTCTTGCCTGATTTGTGCGCTCTCTTTTCTGTTTCAGGATCTGGTGAAGAGCCATTTGATGTATGCTGTGAGGGAGGAAGTGGAGGTCCTCAAAGAGCAAATCAAAGAGCTGATTGAGAAGAACTCCCAGCTGGAGCAGGAAAACACTCTGCTGAAAACACTGGCCAGCCCAGAGCAGCTCGCCCAGTTCCAAGCACAGCTGCAGACTGGTTCTCCACCTTCGTCCCAGACACAAGGGACAACACAACAGCCTGCCCAGCCGGCATCACAGGGCTCAGGACCTTCAGCATAGTCTCCAATGCCCTGGCCTTCGCGGCCAGTATGCTCTGGACTACCCAGAGAAAAGAGGACAAGTGGAAATCTGCCACAGCCACCCCCTCATCCATTTCATTGCACGCTGCAGTCCAGACTCAAGGACTCTGTACACTGCATGCACCATCACAAGAAATTTTTTTTTTTCAGTATTAAGCACTCATCTGTCCTTTCTTTTTGGCTAAAGGAGTTCTTATTTTTAGGTTGGTGAATAAAAAACAACACAAAAACCCACTATTTTCCAGAGAATTAGCACAAATGCACTGGGGACTTGAACAGCTTCTGCAAATGGCTAAGAAATGGAGTTGCATGCTTGATTTTTGTTTTAAATCTTCCATCCATCCACTGCTGTTACTAATGCAGGCATGAAAAAATGAAGAAATAGACTGGAGTAAAAGTGATGGATCAATACCCCCCCCCCCCCATCCAATTGGGATCCAAAGTAAAGACTGATGCATAGGATCTAAGGGTGAAAGGTAAATTCAGTGTTCAACACTAAACTGTCACCTGAAACCTTAAGTGCAAATATGTTTGCGCTGTTTTCGGAAGCCGTGGACAGGTGCATAAAGCTGTATTAGAGAGAGAAGGTAGGTGACAGAGTTGGGATGTAGGATAATTACAATGAAGGTTATTTGCCTAATGTATATTTGTGTATTTAGTGTAATTACTTTGTAAAATAGAAAACTGTAACTACTATTTAGTTTGTACAGATTGAAATTTAGTTGTTTCATTGGCTGATCTGATGAAGTTTGGATAGTTGTTTTTTTTTTTTTAAATGCTACATAAATAAGAATACACTTACGCAGCTGATCAGAATTTGGCAGATTTATGCTGATTGTGTAATTTCTGAATTTCCCTGGCTGCTGAATATTTGAAGTAAATCTTTGTTCACTGTAGTTTGGTTTAAGGCAGGAAAAAACACTTCAAAAATTATCAATTCCTGCTAGCGCAAGAATAAAACAAAATGAGTTTCCCAGTATGGATTTTTGCATATGATCTGTATAGTAGTATGCATATGTTTTTGTGCATGTTATCTAAACAGTTGTAACACGTCAATGTATTTAACTGTTGCACTTGTCAACCTTCAATAAAGCATAAGATGTTGATAAATAACGACTTCTATATTGTAAGGTTAACCATAATAATTTTGACAAACTTCAGTGCAACCTTCCAATGTAACCTGATTAAGTTGTTTTTGGACAAAGATTTCTGTACTAAATTCTGTTTGTGGTTTTTTAAAACTTTATAATATCACTTTTTTTAAAAGTGAAAATTAAAAATATAATTGCCATATAACTGACTTTAAAGAGGTGGGAAAAATACTATTGGGGGGGGGCAGAGGAAATCCTAAAATGAAGTGTGTAAAGGAGGGGGCCTGAGTATCGGACAAATGCCCCCTCTTTTGGTCCAATCCTGTGAGATGCTGACCAGCTCTTAGGAAGTGCTGGGTGCCTTCTGCTCCCTCTATAGTAATTAGTGCAATAGTATGGACATCTGTCCCTTGTACAGCAATGAACCTGTAAAACTCAGACAACAATGGTTCCCTTAGCAACAAACTGCACCTCCTCATGTGGAACTAGGCATTCCCCTGCTAGGCAGCAGCTCAGAACCATCCAAGTCCATGTGGTAAATCAAGTAGCTACTGTAGCTTCCTGAATTCATCACTCTTAACTCTATGTACTAGCTAGAGCTTTGAGTGATTTAGAATGTGCTGTAAAGTGGGTGTCCAAGAATTCCTCACTCTCTCATCCTCATCACCAGAGTGGGAAGCGAACTGGTTTCTTTCTATTTGTGAAATGGGATGATGCAAACTTGGAACACAGCATCAATGCAGCCTTGTAAAATTGTCATGAAAAATTATCAGCCCAGACACACAATCTTGCTCACTGTTCAGCACTACTGTTGATTAATAAAATGATGTAAACTTGGAAATCAGGCCAGTGTTACAAAATGCATATACTAGATGATGATGATGATGCCTGGAATTGGGAGATGCTGAAGAATTTGCTACTCCATAATCAGAGTGCAATTTACTAGTTAGGACCATAATGAACTAAGGAAGGAAGTCCTACATATTTACAGTTTTCAGCCAAGAATTAAAGATAAAGTGGTCAAGTCTTTAATAGTAGAACATTTAAATTTGTGTTGTAAGGTCATCACTTTTTAAGTTAGATGCGCTAAAAATTTGGATCCAATAACTAATATACAACTCCTCTTAAAAGATTGGTGGAAAGCTTTTCTCCTTTCAGGATCTTGTTTTTGTTTCTTTTGTAACTACTGATATGAACATCATAATATACACACACATATTAGAAACACAAAACCAAGATATCCATAAAATCAGGAGTGGCATTTCTTACAGTGCTTTAGATTTTAGTGAGCAAGCAATTGCAGCAGGGGAAAGTAGAACACGAAGGCCTGGTTACAGAAAAAACAGTTTTGTCCTAGAATGTTGATTTGTAATTGAATTCTTACACATTTAGGGCCTGATCCCGCAAAGACTTAGGTATGTGTTCAACTTTACACACTGAGTAATCCCATTGTCTTCCATGAGATTGATCACAGTGTGGTAAACTAAGCGCATCAATCAATCTTTTGCAGGGTCAGGGACTTGATTTGTAGTTTGATTCCGGGATCTCAATATTTTATTGAATGTATGCTTTAAAAAAAACAATCTTCTATAATGAGGTGGGCTCATTTGAACAATGTGCATTTTAAAAATGCAGCCAAATTAAAGATACTAGATGCTTTTTTTGTTAAGACTAAATTGAAGAAAATTCAAAATTAGAAATAACTAATTTCAGTTGATTTATCAGTGTTCTAATAAAAGGAATGCTGATTTTAGTGATTTTTAAAAACTTACCTGATAGTGTCCCATTGTTTTTCTCCCAATTTTAGTGCTCTCCAGAACAGCCAGGGCAGCTTGTTCATTATACACATGTTTAATTTTAATACACCTCTACCCCGATATGACGCTGTCCTTGGGAGCCAAAAAATCTTACCGCATTATATCGAACTTGCTTTGATCCGCCGGATCCCCCCGGAGCATTGCTTTACCGCGTTATATCCGAATTCGTGTTATATTGGGTCGCGTTATATCGGTATAGAGGTGTACATGATTTCCGCATATTTGACTTGTTTAAAGATATCCCACTTCTGTGCAAACTTGAGTATGTTGGGACCATGTGTGAACATTAGATTTATAGCTTTTACCTATGTTAGTGAACAACCAAACCATATTTTCTGTTTAGAATTTTAGACTATGCCCAGTAGCATAGTGCCTAAAAGAAGACTGAAAATTTGAGTTTAAGGAGAGGACTCCAGAATTTATTTGGCATAAAGTACAGTTGAACATTAGAACAAATGAAGGTTTGGACTTGCTTGTCTGTGAAGAGCTGTTTTTCAACACTGCAGTCTATCTTTTTGAATCCTCTTATTAGGTATTAGAACTGGCTGGAGAAACTTTGATAGAACCATATTCCATGGGAATATATCGTTCCATCAAAATCAAACTGCTTCTGGAAATCACTGAGAAATTCACCAGAATTTCATTTAGGAAGAAAAATGGAAAAAAGTTCCAACAATGTAGAAAGAGCCTGTTTTGACATTTTTTGCGATGAAACATTCCAATTTTTTGTTTTGAAACTGTTTTGAATTTCAGAGGGGTAGCTGCGTTAGTCTGGATCTGTAAAAAGCAACAGAGTCTCCTGTGGCACATTATAGACTAACAAATGTATTGGAGCATAAGCTTTCGTGGGTGAATACCCACTTCGTCACGTCTGACGAAGTGGGTATTCACCCACAACTGTGTCTGATGAAGTGGTATTCACCCATGAAAGCTTACGCTCCAATACATTTGTTGGTTTATAAGGTGCCCCAGCACTCTTTGTTGCTGTTTATATTAGATACTGTACTGCAAAATAGAAGTCAAAATCAAGATAAATATTTTCAAACCACTCAAAACAGGGTTTTTTTGTTTTTTAAATTTTCCTGTGCGGATAACTGAAATTTCCAGTTTTTGCTCCTCCTCTGAGCTAAGCCAGATTTTGAGATCTCAAAATCCTTAATGAAATAGAATTTCCATCCTTTGTATAGCTTTTAGTTACAAAATCCTTGTCTACACAGTGCTGCAGTCAGGTCTACAGGGGTATGGACTGTGGAGTGCTTTAGCTGTCCTGTATAGACCCTGCTGGTGCAAACTAAAAGGTAGCTAGGTTGCGTTAACAGCGTCCTGTTTGAAATAGGGCTACAATGCTAACTTGGTACCTTTTTAGGTCACGCCAGCAGGGTCTTCGTGGGTCAGTTAGAGTGCAACACGTTAGAGCACTCTATAGTTCATATCCCAGTAGTCCAGGCTTTGGCATCATGTAGATAAGCCCTTAGTTTGTCATTTTACCTTCCTACTGGAATTTAATTGCTGTTTAAAATAAAGCAAATATGCAGAGTGATGAGGTGTGGTGGTATGGATAGAAAAATTATTAGTCATATAGACAAGTAGCTGCATATCATATTCCCCTCCCCCATTTCCCCCCCCCCGTAAATGTCTATATGCTTTTAAAGCAAGGACAAGTTCATATGTTCTCATATGTGCCACCATTCTGGGTGCATTATAAATACCTAGATAGACGTTATACTTACCTAACATGGTATTTAAAGATTACACAATCTATACCTGAACATATCTTCTAAACAACGGTGGGAGGCATTGCAATAGCTTGTGTACAAGTGCCTCTCCTTAATTCTATGTGGAGTAATTGTATAGCCTGAAAGGCAACCCTGTATGCCTTGGGGGAGAATGGCTAGTGAAGTTGTAAATGGCTACTAGGGAAGTTTACTGTGGAAATCATTTATGCCCATAGTAAACAAATTCAGATGTATACAAAGGGAATTATATACCCCTCCTCCTTTATAAAGGGAAAATAGGAGTGTGCAAAGCTAGCTGAGGATGGAGAGGATAAATTATTTTACTTTTAACACTTTTCAAAATTCTAGTTAGTACTTTTTCATATTTTAAAAAAAACTGGTTACATTTTATCAGCAGCTAGTTGACTTCCAAATAATAATGGTTAAAAAAATGTTTTTACTTAG